GTGTGTGTGTGTGTGTGTGTAGTTGCTTGTATTGTTGTTTTACAAGAAATATATATTTTTCAGACTTTTCTGGGACTTTTTTTTTTTTTATGTTTGCGTTTGGAGGGTTTTGGGCGCTAGTTCACATTCGGGTTTGGAGCACGTTTCTGAATGAAAAAAAGAAGGAAAAAAGAAAAGAAAAGACTAGGTCTGTGCCATACCTTTCGCCAGAGGCAAGAATGCGTCATGCATGCTCACATAGATCCTTTTTCATTTTTCCACGCACATGATCCTGGTGTATGCGAGAGAGGAGTTCTGCTGCCGATCAGTGCAAAGGCATCCATCCTAGATGCTTTTTATCTGTGACCTGGTTTTCTAATTGTGAGTTTGCGTGCCTCCTTTGACGTTCTTCTGGTGCCTTGTCTGAATGTTCTACAGTGGATGCAGGGTACAGTCACACACAATCTTCGGGTGGGTACGGTGCTGAAGATGACGGCGGGGAAGATGAAGAGGATAAGAAGGACAAATAGAAAGCAGTCGGGATGACTGTTGCTATGAGTGTTGCAGGCCTTGCTGGTCCCTTTGGTTTGTTTGTGGGCATGGGTGGAGGGGGAGTGCTCATGTGACAGCAAGTGGGGGAGGTGTTGGTGAGGAGAGAAGGGATGACGTAGGTAGCAGTAATACAGTACGCGGGTTGAAGTCAGGAGTTTGCAGTCTATTCATAACGTCGTCATCTGGAATCAGAAAAAGGACATTAAAAAAATCATGCTTTTTTTAGGGGACATACTGAGAGGTCAGATCCAGGGGGGGGGGGGGGGGGGCYCCCACACTTGTTGAGGTTTTTCGAAAGGCGAGAGGTGTATGGATGCGTGGGAAAAACGGCACACAAGGAAGATGGAGGTCATCATTCTGTTGATTGCTTGAGGATGAAAGGTTTTTCGAAAGGCGAGATGTGTTTGGATGCGCGGGAAAAAGGGCATGCAAGGAAGATGGAAGTCATTCTGTTGATTATGCAAGACATGCCATTGGTCAATCGACTTGACCTTCAAATTTTGAATCAATCGTCTCAACCGGCCAAGGCGCTTGCAGAGCGATTCGCGCATCATCATCAACCAAGAGGGTTGTGCGTAGTGATAGAGGGCTCTCGTCAATCAGCTGGTCTGTTGGAGCAATTGGTGGTTATGGTTGTGATCAGGAATGATGGAAGGGGAAGGTGCAGGGAGCTCCACTAAGGAGGAGGAGGTGCTCGGCATTTGCTTTCCCTGTTGGTGTCGACTGGTCGATGAGGATAGTTTGTGATCAGCATGCTTGTGCATGAAAACGAAATGCGTATGTAAGTAAGGCTGATTGCTGATCTGTTTTTTTTGTTTTTTTTTTGGATGAGAAAGCGTTGGTTAGACTGCTAGACAGTTTTCGAGACAGTTTGCGAACGTGGAGTGAGAGATTTGCCGGGTCGGCTTGGGTTGGGTTGGGTTGGATCTAATCTTGCCACCCCCATTGCTTGCTAAGATGGGTCGGAATAGTTTTGTTCGGCAGTAGGGTAGGGGGACGTGTTTTCCTGTCCACCCGACGTTTTTTGTCTATCGCATAGACGGGCGCAAGGGCGCAAGGTTGAGGGTTTTGAAGTTGAAGTGCATCGTCAGTGTGTGTGGGGTTGTGTGTGCCAGTCAGTTTACTTGACCGTTGTCACCGGCCTATGATTTTCAAAAGTGTGTAGCACCTGCAGATTTCCTCCAGAGTTGGATGTGCAGACTGGTGGGAGGGTATTTGGGACATATCAGGATTGCTGCCGATGAGAGGCAGCGGGCGAGGACAAGAATCGATGAAGATGGTGGTCGGAGGATGAGTTTATGGTGGCGAAGGCCAAAGGGGACCTTGCTCGTGTCTGAAGTCCCGCGCGTCCACCAGGAGGATGGAAGCTTGGGAGGATGAACACGGCGTATTTTTGTACATAATGAATAGATGTGGGTTGGTGAGAAGACTACATTTTCTCATTTGATTCCTTTTGGCATCTGAGACTTTGCTTATGTGTTTCTCTCTCTCTCGAGTCTTTTCAACTCTTTTGAGTCTTTTCTCTCTCTCTATTCCTTTTTTTTTTTCGTTTTTTTTTTTTTTTGACTTCAACTCTTTTCTCAAATTCTTCAACTTGCAGACAACTGATCCTGTGGAGGGCAGCAGGTTAGCACAGCTTGAAGAGTGTCTGCATAAGCGAAGAAAGCCCTTCAGAAAGTCGTCCGTAAAGAATTTGAACACTAAGGGTAAGATTATTATGGCCCCTGGAAAGGGTTCTTTTTTTCTTGTCTTTGTTTCTACTGTTGGGTTGTTGGGGGGGGGGGGGGGG